ATATTTTTGGTTAATGGGAGTTTATTTATGTAAAAGAACTACATTTTGGCTTGATCCTTTCATGGGGAACGTACAAAACACATGCTTTTTGGGTACAGCTCCTTCTAATCATAAATATATTTTCCTCTATCCATAAATTATTTTGAGCAAATATTTGGCTTATATCTTTGATTGTTATATTATTATGATCTTGAGATATAACAGATAAAGACATAAGATGATTCTTTTTTAAAGATGTGGTTTTATTTTGATTTGAAGCATTATAAAGACTGATATGAATTAGCACAATTTTTATTACATTTGGTGCTAAATTCATACTATGTACTACCACATTGGCTGAAGGATGTGGATCCATGTCGATAAGGATGTTAGCTTTTGTAGTTGTGGAGTAGTCTTACATCGTTTAAATGGTGTAACGACTTCTATGTTTGATATTGACATTCTTTTTTGACCGAATCATGTTTTTTAAGGTGTTATCATTTGAGCTATATTTGTGTGGCCACATATATAGTCTAATCTGAGAGCCAAAAGTTTTGTTTTATTATTTAATAGCAATCAAATATTCACCCAAGTGGGAGAGTATTAGAATAATTTCAAAATATGGGCTTTCCATTTGATTGCAAATTTTATGTTTTATAAAACGAGTTATATGTATATTTCATAATGATACTATACTTAGATCCGATATGTTGAGTGATCGCTTGGGCCGTTTTACACCTTAGTCATATAAGGTTATATCCTATATAATGTGGTAATTTAAGTATGTGAGCCATAAGTATTTAAACCCTAATTAGGGTTAGAGTCGTTAAAGGAATGGCTCAACAATTTTCTATATAAGAGGCTAGGTCCCTTCTCCTCTCCATATGTTTTTATTGGCTTGTCTCATTGACCATTGATATTTTTGTGAAGAGCAAGGAAAGGAAGATCTAGCGCTAATATTTGCATTCAAGATGTCTTTCGGAGATATATATTTTAAACTATTAATTTAGAATTATGATTCTTGTTTCTTAACATGATTATTATTAAATACAAACGAAACTTCATAGAAGATATAAATATAAAATAATGTTATATAGCATCATTTATGTTAAACATTGATCTAAGTGACACTGAGTGATATTAAATGAGTCATCTTTTTCTACATTTAACTCTTGTTTGATTCTCATTCTTCCAAAAATTTATTTTTTTAAAATTCATTTTTAACTATACTTTCTTCAATAAAATGATATTACACGTAAATTCAAAACTTTTTTTTAATTTTTAAATACACATTCTCCATCAATCTACTATTCAAAATACATTATTTCCTCCAAAATGGGGATCAAATAAAGGCTTAATTGAACCTATCAGTTAATAACATATATAATGACGTTGTAACATTATTGATGTTAGATAGCATTATTCAAGAATATTAATCATATTTAGCCTTTGTGTGGTAGGGGTTAAAATTCAAATTTTAATTAAGTTAAAGTTAACAGTTAATTTTTATCACATATTTAATGGAATTCACAAATTTTCAATTACATATTTTATCGGTTTAGTCAAAATTTATTAAAAATTTGGTTTTAATCTCCACTAAACAGTGGCTTAAAAAATATATAATTGTGTAGAAAGTAAAATTGAAAAAAAAAAAGGAAATGATTCTATAAAATGAATTGACTCAATGTTAAATCATGTAGGAGTAAACGAATGAGAGAAAAATTTAGGTGAAAATAAAATAGTTATTGAATTGTTGTTGGAGACCAATAATAATAATAATAATAATAATAATAATAAATAAATAAATCCAACTGGTATGTATTGGTAAGCATTATATAATGTAGCACGAAGGGGATGGTTTATTATCGATTTTTGGTATTTTGATCTAATTAAATTCCTTAAAAAGAAAACTTTGTAAATTATTTAGCAAAAGTTGGTTTCCGTTACTATACTGTTAAAAGTAGTATAGTATAAATAAATTAAAAAGAAAAAAAAATGTAAAGTGTAATTATACTCCATATAGTATTTTGAGAACTTCCCCTTCTTGATTACATTTTATATTTTCTCTCCTCTTTTAACCCACTAGTGAAACTTGACCATGTTCGAGTTATAGTCGTTTGATCGAGCTAAAGCATAGAGTAAGGTGTAAAATTATGGCAAATCGAAGATCTTTCGGTACCAATGGAGAAATTTGTCTTTAAGCAAAAACGCCAAGTTGATAGAATTTAGTGCCAAGGAAAGTAAGACAAGCGCATCGTACTGCAATTAGAAAGTCCACTAGCATTGTGGTTTTACAGAGTTTACAGTAGAGATAAGAGCATTTTCAATGTAAGCAAGTTGAAAGAGTTGTAATGTTTGTATTGATGTCTAAAGAATACATAGTCAAGTTTCTTCAATGAGTTCAATATACAACTATCTTTTATGATGCGAACCCGGATAGCAACGAACACTATCAAACCCACACGAGAGTAACACTAATCCTAAGAACGCCAATTTGATTCGAAGTTAACGGATTTAATTCCTAAACGATGAATTAGGCAACCAACGATATATTAAATAGAAAACCTCCTAATTACACAATTTAAGAACCTCACCCAAGGTTGCGAACGCCATAAGAAATCCCAACCGGATCCCTTGATAAGTTCAAAATCCCGAAGAACAAAGGTTTGGAAGCAAATCGCCTCTCTGAATTAATTCTCAAATCAAAAGTTTTTTTCAATAATGAAAGATAGAAAATAATTTATACTACCCTAGAAAACAAGGAATGAAACTTGCCAAAAATAAGAAATTGAATCAAATTAAAATTCTCGCAAAAATTGAGAATTCGCGTCTTCAGTTTGCCCATGCGACCGCATGGTAGAACTTGGTGCGGTCGCATGGTTGAAGATGTTGTCGCCTCTCGAGTTTCGGTAGCCACCTGTGTGACCGCATGCCTGCGACACGGTGCAGTCGCATGGAGTTATGGTTTGGTCCCTTCTTCGGCTGCTTGAATCACGTTGTTTCATAGACTTTCAGACTTCGACCCCAACACGAAAATTGTCACTTTGCTCATGAACTTCAAGATAGTATGCTTTGTGCCTCGATCCATCAATTGTGCCACCCGTATTAGCTTCCCGAAGGCCTGAACTTGGCTTAGGTTTCTTCCAATCAAACTCCAATGCTTTGGTTCGTTTTGACGAAACCCGTATCACATCATTTTATCTACCTTAATAAAAATTAATAAATCTATAATATATTAAAATATCACATCAAAGGAGAATCATTTTTGGACGATTTTAACCCCCCTAAAATTCCTTTTTTTTTTATGATCTTGATTTACGTGCACCTTGACTAATCTCATCAGACCCTGAAGTTTACAACCGGATACTCACCTCAAAGGCCCCGAGGACCCCTTACAATTTGATTATTTAAATAATATCATATTTTTCATTTTTCGAAATGTAATAAATACTACATAATTATTATCATTTATGAAATTTATATTATTAATTCTCAATTAATTAATATTCACATTAACCTAGATTCAATGAATTTCCAGAACTTGATTTAGATAAATCTAGGGTTATTATAGATAAATTTATTCATATTCATGTATCTAGAAATTTTAATGGGTGTTTAAATTTATGTATTAACAATTAATTTTTATGTATCAAATGTAATAAAAAAAAAGATTGCTCATTTAGAGTAGTTCATAATTACAAAAAATTTGAATCATAGAAATTGAGTTTTGAGAGTACAATTTTTTTCTTCCAAATTTCTATGCTAAGTTTTATTTTCTTCAATATGTTCGACACTCATCAAGTCTTCCAACAAATTGATATCAAATATTATTTTTACATTACTTATAAAGTATTTTAGAACAATGTGCAATGCATATTCAACTTTAACTAGTTGGAGTAAAAGAGAGAAAATTCAACGCTTCAAAAATAGAAACAAAATAAAAAAAATAAAGTATGTCTAACATAGCCCTTGAATCTAGACGAAACATTAGACCAATTTTTATTATTTTTTATTTTATTATTATTATTTTTAACCACATAAGCTTGACACTGACCTTGTCAGCTAATGTTTATTCTATTTTTTTTTTTTAATGCTTCATATTAATATTGAAGATGTTCTAAGAAACCCTGACTGAGAAGTTTAATTAATTTAACGATAAACGAGTTTTTTTTTTTTTTTTTTTATTGATTTTCGGAAACTTTATTGGCCTCAGAGTTTTATCGCTTAATTAAGAAGCAATCTTTATTTAATTTAAGTTAATATAAAAACGTTTTTTCATTAGTTATCTTAATTAGTGGAAAAACTAATAGTAGTTATCTTAATTAGTGGGCAAAAAAACTAAAGTATGATACAGCTTGATCTCCACTGTAATGATAAATTAAAATGATTCATGAATGACCAAAAGATAAGCAAGTGGATACGATAATGACTAATCATGACGAATAATTGATTAAAGTATTTCATTTTAAACGTTATTTATGATTGTCACTAATTATTTATCAAAATTTTCATTATATTTGGTTCTTTTTATATTACATAAAAGAAAGAAGAGTATTTTACATGAAATTTTGCTAATTGTATAATTGAAGTTTACAACCTCCTCATAAGAGAGGGGCTCACGATTTTTTTATTCATCGTAAACCCCTTCCCGTGTGTGTGATTGTCAATTGGAGTTGTATATGTAACATGACTGATTTTACATGTGTCGACAATATTCAATGTTCTTTATGAAAATATTTTCAGCGATCACTACTTTTTCAAGAGCATTTTACGCGATTTAACTACATTTTTACGTTAAAAATAATATGCCCCTTATCTTGTCTCAATGTGAAATCTTGATCTTCAATCCCAATCTGATCGAAGAAAAGAACTCGAACTTTGGGGACAGAACTTGAACTTGGGGGGAAAAGATCCTTAACTAAACAAGATTATAGGGCCACGATTGGTGCAAGTTAACAACAAACATAAAACTTTCTCTCGTATTCATGGCACGAATTAACTTGTCTAGAACATGCAATATATTGAAAACAAGAAATCGTGAATTTGGATACATTGAAAAGACTAGAAGATGTTGAATAAATAAGCGAACAGAAATGACAATACATCGACATCTCTATACATTCAACAACACGATAGTAGATCATAGACGAAAAAATGTCAACTCGAATGCACTAACTAGCTAATTTACTACACAAACCTCGCCTAATTACGCAAGTACTAAGTTTATAACGAACAACATATGGGTGATAAGACTCGATAACTAGGGAATCCATGAATGGATTTGACGCCAATTGCGTTGGTAAGAGAACTGTTAGTGCATATTTGCTACACTATTCTGGAAAGTACAATGGACAAGATTTTTTGTTTTGTCTAATCCACCTATGGGGTTAGCGTTTTAGGGTTACTACTCGGGCAAAGATGTGTTGATATCAGTGGGTTTAGTCGTTGAGTCGGGGCCCATTGAAGACCAGCTGTCTCCACGGAAAGAAGAGTTGGCATTATATGGTTCTTCCACCCCTGCACTCGAGATAGGAATAGCAGCAGTAGGTATAACAGTCGTCGACTGTGTCTTGTGTTTCTTCGTTTTCTGTTCATGCTGATTCCCCACCAAAAAACTACCAACCACAATCTAATTTCACACCAAAAACGCAAAATTTATTAGAAAATGTGTGCTAGGATGGCTTTATTAATTATCGTACGAGAAAGAAGTGTACTAATGATGTGTTTTGCTAAGCTTAAACATAAGTAATCACTAAATATGTCTGGATAAAACAAAAACGAGACGAGAACAAACCTGGACGGGACTGGCAGCAACCAGTAAACCAGCAACCCCACCCCCTACAACACGACCATCGGGGCTAGCTAGCGAAATGCTCATACCACCAGTTCGGTGCCTCATCCCTCCAGTCTCGGAAGGAATAAATGATCCAGTCAGCGAGAGCATCTCGAAACGACCCTAAAACAACAAAAGAACTATGATATCAAATGTTCCCGTCGATGGCAAACAAATATAATACCGTACCTAAAAATTACAAGCAACGTTAAATTTGGTGGGGCATTGAAAGGGAAGATAGATGTTATTAAACTAGCAAAAAATTATTGATCCAGCACCTCATATGTCAATGTGCCACCTGAAGAATCAGGTTGACGAAGCGTTACGCTTGAAATCACGCCATTAGCCGAGAGAACGCAAATAGCCCGAGGACCTTGTTGAGAGAAAGATATGATCTTCATCATGACATCCTAAAATCAAAAGTAGATTCATTAATGCCGTGGATTTCAACTTTCGTCGTACACTATACACAGAAAATCATTCATTAATGTGAATGGTCTCCAAAAGTAAGAGCAAGGGAGACATTTGAAAAGGAGAAAAGTAAATGTAAATTAAACTACGAAGCTGAACTGAAAACTCAAATACAGGTTATGGAAAATTATTTGTCTATTGAGCAAATCATGCTGCAAAATTGAAATTTTACCTCTCCAGCATTGACAGTGATGATATGAGGAATAAAATTAGCACCAACTGTACATGAAACCCATTCACCTACAAAGAAAAGACATTGAAGATTTCGAGGAGAAGACTTCAGCAACAAAGAATCATATCAAGTATTCTTAAAAATATCATAATAGGAAAGGAAAAAGGCATTTTGTGGCCATGAAAACGATAGGATGAAAACCATTAATTCATGAACCTGATCTTCACGTACCAATTATGTGGATCGAGAAGAACTCATTCCACTAGCAAAAGAATATTACTTCACCAACCTTTTTATGAAGTCATCATAGAGCTCAAGACAGACTCGTGTAAATGGCCAACAACCTATGTTGAACCATGTCACCTAAAAGGCTAAAAGCTTAAATTGTTAGAGAGATAGACATGTTTATATAAGCTTTGGTCCTCACGTGCAAGCAGAATCCATTTTTCCACCATATGCCCGACAAGTACATAGTTGTCAAATGACAGGAGGCAAGGCCTGATCTCAGGCTAAAAATCCATTTTGTACCAGGGGCACGGCATGTCAAATTTTCCATTCGGGAGTCAAATTGTACATATTCTAAGAACCAACAAGAGACTTTTAGGAAACAAACAAAAGCCACTCGAGTTTGAATTACAATTTGGCTGCCCACGAATAATGAAGCTTCTAAGATCTTTCTGTCCAAGTTGGGGTATTCCGCAGCAGAAGAGACGTGGATTATTCAAGAAAGTCAATCTAGATTCCATCATTTTCGCACCAAAAGCCCACAAGGCTATCAAAACTACCCATTCATGACAAGATTTTAGTTGAGGCATCAATTCATAGGTCCCATTGCTTCACTCAACTATCATTTGCAATAATTCTTACAGTTAAACCATGGAACTTAAATTCATTCATACAAACTAAACACCAATGCATAATAGAATATTTGGTGAACATGCAGGCATTAATACTAAAACACACATTGCTCCATATAGTAATGGACAATCATCATTTCAATTACCCAAATTCTCCTGCTCCATTCTCGTATGCTGTGCCAGCCGGACTTTTCCGGGCTTATCCGCGGCCGAGAAATCAATCATCGGTGTAGGGGCCGAGGAGGATATCGGCTTAGGTGAGAGGGGCTTAGTGGCAGAGCCATCAGGGACATACTTCCTAGGCCTGCCCCTCTTCTTCTTCTCAACAGTGGAACCACTCACTCCAGCAGCGGTGGTCCCCGGCGGAGGAGGCGGCGCTGATCCACTCATCTGAATTGGATTATCAGTGGACCTTGGAGCCACATGGTAGTCCGAAGGAGCATCTGATCCCACCACTGTGATTCCACTGCTACTTATAGTACCACTTCCACCTTCCATACTTCAAATTCCAAGAAAAACAATTCCTACAAACCCTCAAAAAATCATAATTTTTTTGGAAGCAAAAACCCAGAAATTGTAAGAAAAATAAAAAAACAGCAAAGATTTGAAGTTTATCCCTTAAAAAGCTTCTTCGGGTTTTGACAGAACTGGAAAAAATTTACTGTAAGATCAAACTGAAAAAAATGGGAAAGTTGGTGTGGATGAACAATAAAATTATGAGAAAAAAGATTTGATTTTTTGGAGAATTAAAAGAGAAGGATTGAATTTTGGGGTGAGACAATGGGGAAATTGAGGTATTGTAAGTTAAAGCTAATTTAACTTTTCCTAATTTTCCTCAGACTGTCTGAATTTGTGATTTAAAAAATGTATAAAGTGGATGAAAATATTTAAATATTTGAGTCCATTAATTGTTAATTATTTGATAGCATAGAAAATATGTAGTTTGGTTAATAAAAGGGTTGGAGTCCGGTTGGAAAGGAAAATTGAAAAAATATTTGTAGTTGGGAAAAAGTGAAAATTAGCTTGCCAAGCAATAAAAACTCTCAATCTCATTTTTATTTTAATTTAATAAGAGAATAAAAATAAAAGAGAGAGAGAGAAATGATCTCCTAAACACCAATACAAGCATCAATAACATGTTATATCAACTAATTGATGTATCATTTAACTTTTGGGACCTACCACGAACTTTATTTACAATTAAATAAATAATTATTGTAGCTTTGAGAATTTAAAATTTTTAATTTATAAGGAAAAGTTGGTGTGTGAACATGACGATACCTTAAAGAGAACGGAGATGAAAATTTTTACGTAACCTAAAAGAGTGTAAAATGCATTGTATCTGATAATAAATTTAGTGATTTGAAATATACTACGTGAATCAAACTCTTTCTATCTTTTGCTTTTTAAATATGGGTAATTAGCACAAAACGTTTTTGTATTTTCAATGTTAATGTGCAAAATGTCATTTCATTGTAGAAAATCACATTTTTATTGAGGAATCAGTAAAAATGTAAATGACAAATATAACATTCTATTTAACTAAAAATAAGGTTTAAAAACCAATTTGCAATTATGCTCACGAACTTTTTTTTTTTTTTTTTTTTAAAAACTATAAACGAGTCCAAATAAATTATTAAAAAGGTAATTAGTACAAAAGATTCATATTTTTCAATTTTATTGTACAAATGATAATTGGCACAAAAGGTCCCTACCTTTCAAGTTTATCGTGAAAAATGTTTACTTTTCATTTTTTGACATTTTCGCCCCTACCTTCCAGCTTTTTTTTTGCCTTGAACGTCTTTCTCATCAATTTTTGACAATTTTACCTTTCTATACAAATAAAACAAAAAGAAAAGAAAAGACAAAAATAGAGAACTAATTGAAACAATGGTCCCAAATTTTCAAAAAAGTACAAATTGCAACCATGCAGCCACTTTTGCACTGGCTTCGCCACAACCTGCGATGCTTTTTGCCATCGTGGAACACTCGGCTCTAACATACTCCGTCCTTATGGCCTGGTTCAATTGCACCTCAAAGGAAAGCCTCTCGTACTGATACAATAATGAGCTCTGTTCATCTTCAGCAGTTTTAGGTTTTTACTGTTCGTCCAGATTCATTGAAGCTTCGGGTGAGACTATTCATTGATTGTCAAAGGTAGATTTGAGCTCCTTTAGGTTTTAGTTCATTCGTTTAGGCAAATTTCCAGCTCCATCTTTGGAGTTTCTTATTTGGCCAGCAGCCTGGTTTTCCTTGTTGGAGCTTCATAAGTTCAAATATGTTGGGATTTCTTCGGTTCAGTTTGCCAGAACATAGTAGGCCCTTGTTCTTCCATTGCAATTTCGTCCAAGTTCAAGGTTGATTTTGGGTGCTGTCTTTAACTTGAACTCAGCTTGGTGGTCTTGGCATCCTTCCATTGAAGTTTGTTCTTTGTTTGTTGGTTTTGTCCATTGTTGGTGATTTTCATATTGCTAGTTTTACAGAGTTAAATAGGTTTGTAACTCATTTGTAATGTTTTGAAAATTTAGGACCATGGTTGCAATTAGTTCTCTATTTTTTTTTTAAATTCCTTTTGTTTTATTTGTATAAGAGGGTAAAATTGTAAAAAATGAATGAAAATGACTTCAGCCCAAAGAAATCTGCAAGGTAGGGGCCAAAATGCCAAAAAAAAAAGGTAAGAACGTTTTTCACAATAAACTCGAAAGATATGGAAATTTTGTGCCAATTACCCATTGTGCAAAACGTTAAAACCTTTCATTTTTAGACATTTTCATCATTATCTTCACATTTAATTTAGAAAATCCTCATTTTCATATATTTTTTGAATTAAAAGCTGTAAAATGACAAATATACCTTTCTATTTAAATAAAACAAAAATATTTTTAAACTTTTTGTTTTTAAGTATTTATTTTTTAAAATCTATTTGTACTTTTTTTTTTAAAAAAAAAAATTGGGAGTGTAGTTGCAATTTGTTCTTTATTTTTTTCTTTATTTTTTTTATTTAAATGTGAGGGTATATTCATTATTTTACAGCTTTTAATTGAAAAAATGGATGAAAATGATGATTTTCTCAATGAAATATGAAAATATCAAAAAATGAAAGATGTGGATGTTTTGCACAATAATATTGAAAGGTAGGGACCCTTGTGCTAATTGACTTTTTAATAATTTATCTGGATTCATTTGTAGTTTTTAAAAAGTTTGAAAGTATAATTGCAATTTGTTCTTTATTTTTTTCTTTTTATTTTATTTAAATAGGATGTCATATTTGTTATTTTATTTTTTATTGAGAAATTGGATGAACATTATCCTTTCCACAATAAAAGGTGAATATTTATATAGGTGAAAATTCCAAAAAAATGAAAGGTAAGAACGTTTTGTACAGTAATAACGAAAAATAAGTATGATTTGTTCTAATTAATCTTCTAATTATCCTAACACACTTGAGAAATTGAATACACGCTTGGAGAGTGAGTTGAAAAGAGGTGTATACCACTGGCTATTTGTTGATTTTTACTTGAATCAATTCTATGTTATCATGTATAAAGTACTTTGTATCTTTGAGGAAATGTAGAGATGCATTTAATATGGCAATATAAAATAATTTGTGTAGCTGACTTCAAGTTCATTGATAATGGTACTTAGATTATTGTACACGATTAAAAAGTCAAAATTTGAATAGATTTTGATTTCGTCGCGATCTGTAAAAACAATTAATAACTAATGAGTTAAAAATTTTCTTTAGAAATAAAAGTTATAATTACATTGATTTGAAATTTATTTTTAAGAAATTTTAGTACCATCTTAAAAAAAAAAAAAAAAAGAAAAAAAAAAAAAAAAAAAAAAAGAAAAAAAAAAAAAAAAAAAAAAAGAAAAAAAAAAAAAAAAAAAAAAAGAAAAAAAAAAAAAAAAAAAAAAAGAAAAAAAAAAAAAAAAAAAAAAAGAAAAAAAAAAAAAAAAAAAAAAAGAAAAAAAAAAAGAGAGAGAGAGAACAGTTTATAAATGTTAGATTCCTACAAACCACATGTATTGACCAGAGAAAAAGATATGTAAAATCAAAGCCAATAAGTTAACACCAAAAACAAAAATAATAAATATAATATAAATGTAAGACAATAAATTAGGTTTTAGAAAAGAACAATGGCCTTTTTAATAATATTATGTAACATAAATTAATAAGATGGTGAGTGAATGGACAATTATTTATCTGTTTTCTTTTTTCTTTTTCTTTTTCTTTATATTAAGCCTTAATAATTAGTCACCAAACTAATTTTTATTTTATTTTATTTTTATATTTGTTTACACTTTTGTTGGATCCAGTATCACCCTCACAAAACAAAGTTAATAAAAATAGTGCATTAAAGTAGGTTTTAGATAAGAACAAAGGCTTTTCAAAAATATTATGTAAACATTAATTAAGATGGTGAGAGAGTGGACAATCATTTTTCTATTTATTTATTTTTCTCTCATTATCTTTAGTATTAAACATTAACATCGATAGAGATAGTCACCATACCTTTAGTTCATATCATTTTAATTTTTATTATATTTGAATAAATTTAATCAAGTTTTGTTGGATCGAATATCACGCTTGCAAGTTGTTGCAAAAGTAATAATTAATTGGAATCATTTTAAATTTTCTTATTGTAATTCCACACTTGTTATTTCTTTCAATATTATAATATTGTACAGAGATATACTTCATGAGATATGTGTGTGAACTTGGGAATATTTGTCAATTTTATTTTCATTTTGATTTTATGATAATAAAGTAATAACGAAATAAATTAAATCGAGTCTAACGGGTAGAGATGAGTACTCAAATCTTACTTTCTTTTCAATGCCTAGCAAGAAATTATATAGTTGATATATTAACAAAACGAAATTCACGTTGGGTTTAATTTAGGAAAATCAAAATTTAATGTTAACATATATAAAATTTCAAAATTAAGAAACTTGAATTAAAGTTTCAAAAATCAGGTCATACTTTTAATTTTATTAACTAAATAAATAACTAAAAATATTTTATTAATTAAACAGATAGTTAAATAAATTAAGATCACAATATTATACAGTTTATTATCACAGTTTTTAACTAGTCATAATCACAAAACCCCACGATCACAAATTTTATCGATCAGAACTTATTTATTGATCATAAATTATTAAATTAATTTATCACGAATTACTTCTCGACCACAAATCACCAATTCTATAGGTCACAATTTATATATCGGTCGCACATTATTTCTCAATTACAAATTACCAATTCTATAAGTCACAAATTACTTCACGATCACAAATTATCAAATTAATTGATTAAAAGTTATTACTTGATCACAAATTATCAAATTAATTGGTCACAATATAATAAATTGTAAGTTACAATTACAAATTTAATAATAATCTCACATTGTTTTAGATCACGTATTATTTAATAGTTACAAATTATCAATTTTATCGAGCACATTAATTATTGGTCAAAATTAATTATTTAATTGGTCAAAATCACCCAAATAATTGATCACAAATACTCTTCATCCTACCACACCCCAATCCCATTCCATCATCAGCACAAATTGAATGCCGCGCCACCTCATTACAACTTCCACTTCCATCACTATTTGTAACCACCACCATTACTTGCGCCATTCCCACCATTTGCAAATCACTAACAGTCACTAACAACCATCATTTGTAAATCACCAACAACCACCAACAAAAATCACAGTAAAACTTCGGCTAAATAGATTGGAGGAAGAGGAAGAAATCACTCTAAATCACAAAAAAAAAGCTCAAAACCATCGACACTGCGCAACGATGATGAGTGACATTGCATATAGTG